AAATTTTATTATAGTTTCTTTATAACTAAACATAGGCCCTAGGCATATGCCACATCAAATCAATTGATTTACTACGATTTCCTGATTTATATTTATATAAACTTAACTCATTGTAAATTTTGTGAACTCACACGAAAAATATATTGCATCTACCTTTTAAAAAAAAACTAGGAGTTGGGATTAAAGGAGGAGATAGAGACGTTAGAAGGGCACAAGAAGATGATGGAGAAATTGCCAGGTATGGAATTGACAGAAAGAACAAAGAAGCTTAGGCAAGCTTGCTTCAAAGCTATTTATAAGAAGAGAGGACTTAACAATCCTTAGTCCTTACCTTTTTTTTTTCAGCCTCTTTAACGTATTTTTGGATGTAATCAAGGGTATTTAGCCATTTTGTTATAATAGTGGATTTTAATCTATATTGTATGTGTTTTTTCTCTTGATAGTTTGATACCCTTTTTAGTTTCATTGTATGTGTTGGTCTATTGATTTTTAATGCAGAAAATTTTGTATAATTTGGGTATTATAGTTTGTATTATGTATTTAGCCATATTCTAGATTGCCGACACGACTACGCCGACGAGTCTATACCATAGGTCTATATAAATAGACTTATGGATTTAGTAGGAATAACTAGATTATAATCTTGTGATTTGTTCCATGTCTGATCCACTCCTAAGATTCACTTGACATGCCCCCGGTTATGTGTAATTAAAATTTTATTAGACTGTTGATCCTAATGAGTCTACCCTAAGTCCACAACCAAACAAGGAACAAGTCCTAAGGCGGACTCACCATTTCTAGGTCAATCATTTCTTAATTACACATAACTTCGAGGTACACCTAAAGAATCTTAGAGTTACCAGTTGTAAATTGTTTGTAATACCAAGTAGTGAGATTCAATGAAATAAAATGCATGCCTATTTCATTGATAAACCTTTTAGTAAATATCCTTACCATTTATATACACATGTATAATTTCGCACTTTAATGAACTATTCTTGGTGTTTCTGTTAACGTCTTGGAGACGGAGTTATGGTAGTGGGTAGAAGTAGGTTTTGTACGGGCGTTAAGATTTCCCCATCATGTTGCTCGTGCGAGAATAGGGGTAGAAGAGATAATTAATAGACGCCTAATCCTATAATTACTTATAGGAGGTGATCCTTATTAGTTACGTCTATAATCACGTAGTGCATATCAGTTATACATAATTTGAGATAGAATAGACCTTCGAATAAATGACTCTACTCTAAGTCCACAACCAAACAAGGAACAGGAAGTAGAGCAATAGTCATATATTCTGAGTCTATAATATCTTTAATTATGTATAACCTTGCCGTATGCACTTAGTTATCATAGGCCTACTAATAGAGGTCTTTAGTTTTCACATAAGTTGGTTATAGTATCACCAAATGCTCCTATAGTATTTTTAGGTGTTTAGATTCGATTCTTAAAGTATTCCCTGTAGGGTGTAGTTAGGTTGTTAGATTTGTTGCCCATTATGACTATCCCCCAGTATATGCAAGTCACTCCTCGGAAGTATCCCCCAGTAATGAGTGTGTTATGTAAATGTATCATAAACTATACCTATTATAGTTTATCACAACAAGGGTAGTAGTAGTGTTCATAAACTATAATTATCATAGTTTACCAAATGTTTGTGTATAATGGACGTAAACTTTGTTTATAAAAATTAATTATTTACCATACTTGTGAAGGTAAAAATCCCTTCTGTTTTCTGATGTATGTCTAATTACCAAGACAAAATGACATATAATGTAATAATATATGATTACATAATGATATACACCTTGCTCAACGAGTTACAAGGCGTAAATGAAATTGATAATATTTTTCTAGTGATAACGTTTCTGTTTCTGTTCTTAGAAAATTTATAGAAAACTCATCAAAGGTCTAAATCAAAAACCGCAAATTCTGAGAGTTTAGAAAGTGTGTCTAGTTTGTTCATAAATTTTCTCATGATTTTTAGTGATCTCCAACTTGTGTGAAAATATTCATATTCACAGACTGGTCCGGTTTTGTTTCTGAAATGATAGACAGTTTTGTAAAAATCACCATAAATCGTAGGAAAATCATATGGTGATGTGCAAGTAGTCATTTTAAAGGTATGAACCTGAACTATATGCGTCTGAAACAGTTTTGAAAACTAAAATGTTTAAGTTGACCAAAACAGTCCGTGAATGGAGTTAAACGTTTCTGTTGAAGACTGTTAAATGAGTATTTTTAGGTGTTTAGATTCGATTCTTAAAGTATTCCCTGTAGGGTGTAGTTAGGTTGTTAGATTTGTTGCCCATTATGACTATCTCCCAGTATATGCAAGTCACTCCTCGGACAGATATAGTTGACCAGGCTATATCCTTCCCAGACTTGATTCACATATACCAAGGCATACCCATAATGCACAACTCCTCTTCTTTTACTTTATGTTCTTCTAGTTATGACACTATGCGAGCATGTATGCATGTATTTATTCTTTTAATAAGAAACCATTTACTTTCTAAAAGTATAGTCATTTGAAAATGTTCAATCAGAGACTTTCTGTCCCAAATAAAGTCAAAATAATATGAAATCATTTAAAGTCAAAATTACTATGCTAGAACACTTAAAGCATCTAAACCATTTGGGGGTTTCAGATGGCTTTGGTAAACCCCTTTTCCGACCTAAACTCCGATGAAAAACAGTGGGTAGATCACATCAACTAAACCTTGAAAAACCAGCTTGACACTACAATCAATACACTTCCACTGTTTATATTTCAAATTCCCCAAAGCCTTACATATAAAAAATGGAAGCGTACGTACCTCAACGGATGAGGCTTAGCCCTAATCACCATTTATACGAGGTGGTGTCCGTCGCTCACCGTCGTTGCTAGTCACTTCATGTTGTCTTCATTCTCGTAAGAGTTTGCTTTACAAGCAACCGCTCTCTTTGAAAGAGTTTGCTTTACAAGCAAGCTCTCTCTTTGAAAGAAAGCCCACGACTTTGACCAACAATTAGATAAAGCATGGGTGCCATGCACTCATTATTATATACTAGCTTGTATACCTTTTATTTATAAAAACTAGCTTTATATAAATGAACTACAATAGGTACAAAAAGATGTACACAACATATAAATCATACCTTATAAGTTTCTAATCGTTTTTTCTCTTAGAAAATATTATGTGCATAAATAATAATTCCCAATTAAATACAAGAGTTGATTATATTTATATTAATAATAAATATTCAATATGTGTCAACTTGGTAAATGTGTGACCCTATATGATAATATGTTATTGACAAACATCATTCTAAAACGATTCTTGATCATATAGATGCAACAGGTGCCACCAAGTGACACAGTGTTGCTCAATAGGGATGCCTGCTAGTTTTCAAAAGAGCCAAAAAAGTGAATACAACATTGAGTATTTGTAATAGTTCCTGAAAGTTAATGAAGTCCCCTCTCTCTCTCTCTCTCTCTCTCTCTCTCGTTCTCTCGTGGATGTAGATCACCTTGACCGAACCACGTTAAATATTGTATTCAACTTTGATTTAATTTTTCAAAAGTTTTATTCAACAAGTTTCACCGGAGTTTGTTTGTAATTTGTTTGAAGTGTTTAACTTATTTTGTTGTTATCTCAACAAACTGGTATCAGAGCTATGGCTGAAGATGAGAGAGTTAAGATCGAAAAATTCAATGGTAAAGATTTTGGTTTTTGGAAAATGTAAATCAAACACTACCTCTAGCAGAAGAATTTACATGAACACTTGTCTAAAGAGAAGTACTTTCTTATAAAACACGAGGATTAGGAATTGTTAGATCAACATGCACTTGGTGTGGTGAGATTATCATTGTCAAAGAATATAGCTTACGACATTGTCAATGTGAGGACTACTCATGGATTGATAACATCGCTATCTAACATGTACAAAAAACCTTCAACAACAAATAAGGTTCACTTGATTCGAGAATTCGTAAATTTGATGACGAAGGATGGTGGATTAGTATCTGATCTTACTAATGAATTTAATTTAATTTTTAAAAAACTCCGCACACCCAAACTGGTATCAGAGCCTTTTAAAAAAAATGGCATTACATTATAATAAAACACTTTACAGTGAAGTGTTTGAAGAAATTCAAAATATCGAAGTTGAAATTTCTCATCATAAAGAAATGATTTTCAATAATAAGAAAAATTTAGTGCATATAAATTTCAGAATTCTACAAGCACAAAATAGACATACTCACGAATATATACCAACCATGGTTACTATACGTAAGTATCTCCTTCATAGGCAAAAAATACATCAAGAACACCTTGATGGAGCTTTAAACTCAGTTTCAGAACTCAGAAAAAGGATTTTAACTTGTTAAACAATTCTTAAATGAATAAAGAAATTTTCAACATTTCTGAAGAAAATAATTCAGAAGAAAAACAAATCTTAACTTATGTTGAGGATGAAGACGACTTTCATGCAAACCTTTTAATAAAACAAGACCTTCTCTCTCGAGTTAAGAAAACAGATTTACAAATAAAGAAAGAAAACATTTTCAAAAACGTTCCTTCTAAACTTAGTATTTTAAACCCTCTCAAGAGGAAAAATGACATTTTCTACTTTGTTAGTACTAAAGAAATGTCTGTAGACATAAAAGACACAATAGGAGCTGTTTTTCTACCCCTTTTGACTAATGAGCAAATAAACAATAACTTGAAAAGTATTCCAGTTGAGATTAGATCAAAAATAAGAATGGTCCATATCGGAGCTGTAAATTTTTTGATGAAATCCCAATTCCAAGCAGGAATAAATTCTCCCATAAAAATGGCCTTAATTGACAACAGAATCACTGACCGACATGACTGCATCTTAGGTGCTGCTAAAGGAAACCTTGCTTACCAAAAGTTTATGTTTTCAGTCTATCCAAAGTTTGCTCTGGATTTGAAATCTGCAAATATAGATAAACCTTATCTTTTATACATCACTTTGAGAGAAGTGACCTTATGAGTCCAGGTGATAAACCATTTACAATAACCTATCTCATAGGATATGCCCTGACCAATAGTCACCATAGCATAGACTACAAGAAAGACGAGTACATCGAACTTGACGATGTCTTCTCAGAAATTGGCCATGTCAAAGATAAGCAATTCTGCGACATAAATCCTCAAGAAAACTCTTGGGTTTTAAACATAGCTAGAAATAAAAAAGCTCTAGGAGAAACTCTTAGACCAAGAATTTCTATGGATTCACTCAACGTAGGAGAAAGCTCAGAAAGAAAAGATAGTAACTTAATAAGAAACATGTCTTTAAAAATTGATAGTCTACGTCAGAATATCAAACAAATCACTGAGATTATAAATGAATAATAAAATAGATTTTCCTCATTTTTATAAAAAAGGTAAAACAGTCAAAATTAAAACTCTTGACGACAATACTGAAAAGAAAGAATACGTTTTCTCTACTTCTGGAAAAGCTGGTATTCAAACAATTGTAAATCATTGCAATAATCTCAACCAGATCATTGCAAGATGTCTTTTAAAGACTTCAAAAATAAGCCATTACCTTGGTATTTCAAAAGATATTTATACAAATATTTCAAAAAATAAAATACCTTTTAATCAATTTAAAAGTGATTTAGCTTCCCTTAAAATTGATTTTGTCAAAAAATATTTTGAAAAATTATTCGAAACAATCGAAAAACAAAATAGGTTGACTATTAAATTAACCCAATCTATTGATAAACATTCTATCCTCCTAGAAAACTCTTTAAAAAATAATCAGTTTGTGGAAGAAGTTGCCAAAAGGGCAAATATTGAAGGCACTCTTATGGAAACCAACCTCAAGATCACTAATATACAAGACCGGTTAAAACAACTGATAGGATGACCTCGCTAGCCGAGCTCAATAGATCGATCAACCTCCTTGAAGAAAAAATAGCTGGGCTGATCATAAAAATTCGACTTAACAGTCAATAATTACGTAACCACTACCCAGTTAGAAGTAGCATCTGCAAAATTTATTGCAGATATTACTAAAGAGTTATCTGAAAAGATTGATTCTTGCCCTTGTAATAAAGATATTCTTGAACACATCAAGAATATTTCCATTATAGAGCAAAAAACCAAACCTGGAAAATATTCAGGTCTTAAGAAATACTCACCCCCCCAATCCTAGTATTGGAAACCCAGACTTAGGTAGCTCAAAAGACTCCCAGAAGATTGATATCTTTAGGAAGGAGAAAAAATGAAAGAAAAAGTCTTCGAGCAACTCGAGAAATATTTCTTTAATCTTCAGTATGAAGACTATGATAAACCTGACCAAAAACTCATTCAGCTTTTATCCTTGGAAACTGAAGAATGCGAAGAACTATATCAAAAAGAGCCACAACTTTTTGATCAATACTTTAAAATAGCCAAAGTAAATGAACCTGATACCGAATCAGAACAGGAAGACAATCCTAACATAAACATTGTCAAATTCGAATACTCAGATAGCAACGAAGAAATGGAAGCAGAATCTTCATAAATGGCCACAAACAGAGGCGAGAGAAAGAAGAAAAAGAAGTATGAGTTCAAAATGCATGTCCACAATGGTATTCCAAATAGTGGAAAAGGACCCAATACGATCAATGTCCTCAATATTGATTGTATCCAAGACTTAAAACTCAGAGAAAGAGTTATAGAAAAATGGGTTACTGAGATTTCACTAATCTTACAAACAAACCCAGATGAATTTGGAAATGCAAAAAATGTTCTCCTACTTTTAGAACACAAGACTGATGGAATTGTGAAAAAATTCCTTATAAATAATAATTGGAATGAAGAATTACATGGATTAGACCTTTTTGATAGTCTTATAAATGTCATTTACACTACCTTCTTAGGACTAGATTATGTCTCCAATAAAGACTTCACTATAAATAAGAAAGTCGACATAGCAAGAGTCTCAATGACAAAACTCCAGTTACATGATATTTGTCTCCTTCACAAATACACATGTAGATATGAATCATATCTTTATGATATTCCATAGAGAAGTGAATATTCACAATGGATATCTGCTTATCTTATGAAAATACCAATCATTGGAGAAATCTGTACTGAAAGATGGAAAAAAGAAGCCATTGGAGAGATTCAGCAAACCAGTCTTTCTTATGCAACAAAAATTGCAAAAGAAGAAATTGACAGAATATGTCAAGACAGATATAAACAACAAAAGCTTAAAACTATAAGCAAAGATTGTTGTAACATTCTGTTTTGATTTCAAAGATTTTGATATCGAAAGGAAAACTTATACTAAGAAGAAGTATAAAGAAAAAAACAAAAAGAAATACAAATCTTTTTGGAAGAAGAAAAAGAGAAGATTTTCTCCAGGAAAATACTTCAAAAAATCTTCGAAAGAAACACCTAAAAAGAATAATTCCTGCCCACAAGGAAAGAAAAAATGCAGGTGTTGGATCTGCAACGAAGAAGGACACTACGCTAATGAATGTCCAAATAGGAAAAAGTACCCTGACAAGGTCAAGGTATTACAAGCTACTAATAATGGAGGTTATGAAGCTATTGAAGAAGAATACATTTGTATACATTCATTTGACATGTTGATACTAATTCCTCGTCATCCTCAGAAGAAGATGAAACAACTACTGATGACTCAGATTAGCCTTAAACAGACTCCACCTTTTAAGAAGGAAGAGGTTAACCATTTTTGTGCAAAACTCTAGAAAAATAATGATTCTCTCATGAATCTCACTAATCCAAACTCTATTTATGTTTCTGCTTTCCTTAACTTCAAAGGATATAAGAAATTTAGGGTACACAGCTTTGTAGACACAGGTGCATCCTTATGTCTTGCAAGCAAGTTCATCATTCCAGACGAACTATGGGAAAATGCTCCCAAAGAAATTATCGCAACTATTGCAAATGGTGACACTATAGAAATTAATAAAGTTTGCAGGAGCATTAATCTCGAGGTTGCAGGTGAACATTTCAACGTAATTGATGTTGTAATTGGCAACAACTTCTGTCAAGTCTATGGACCATTTATACAATGGATAGATAGAATTGCCTTTCATCTTAACAATGATATGGTAATTATAAAAAAGGTTACTGAAGCTTTTAGTAAAGGAAAACCATGTTTTCTTGAAACCCAGGAAAAGGGTTCTAAAGAAAAACAAATTCCAGGTACCAATATAACCCAATAAGGAATTATTGGAGAAACGATTGTTTCTGTACAAACCACCATTTTCAAACAGATAGAAGATCTTCTTGAAAAGGTTTGTTCTGAAAATCCTATTGATCCAGAAAAAACCAAAGGATGGATGAAGGCTTCATCAAGCTTATTAATCCTAAAACAATTGTCAGAGAAAAACCTATGGTTTATTCTCCACAGATAGAGAAGAATTCTCCAAACAAATCAAAGAATTACTTGATATGAGATTAATCAAAGAATCAAAATCTCCTCATATGTCCCCTGCTTTTCTTGTTAACAAAGAAGCAGAGAAAAGAAGAGGAAAGAGACGCATGGTTGTCAACTACAAGGCAATCAATGATGCAACCATTGGAGATTCCCATAATCTCCCTAATATGCATGAGCTCTTAACTCTACGACGGGGAAAAAATATTTATTCAAGTTTCGACTGCAAATCTGGTTTCTGGCAAGTCCTACTTGATGAAGAATTGCAGCTACTCACTACTTTTACATGTCCTGATGGGCTCTTTCAATGGAAGGTACTACCCTTTGGGCTTAAACAAGCTCCTAGTATTTTTCAAAGACACATGCAGAACGCCCTTCGAGGTCTTGAAAGTTTCTGTACTGTATACGTTGATGACATCATGGTCTTCAGCAAAAATGAACAAGAACACTATGTTCATGTTACCCAGGTTCTCAGAACCATTTTAAAATACGGAATAATACTTTCACAAAAGAAAGCTCATCTTTTCAAAACAAAAATCAATTTTTTGGGCTTAGAAATAAATGAAGGCACTCATTGTCCTCAAAAACATATTCTTGAACATTTACATGATTTTCCAAATGTTTTAGAAGATAAAAAACAACTGCAAAGATTTCTTGGTGTTTTAACTTATGCTGAAACATATATTGAAAAACTTGCAGCCATGAGAAAGCCTTTACAGGCAAAATTAAAAAAAGATGTCATTAGGAATTGGTCAAATACTGATACAGATTACATCAAAAAGATAAAGAAAATTTTAATCAATTTTCCAAAGCTTTATCTTCCGAACGTCGAAGACAGTTTAATTATTGAAACTGATGCTTCTGATGAATTTTGGGGAGGAGTTTTAAAAGCCAAAAATTCCAAAAACGAAGAACAATTTTGCAGGTACACCTCTGGCAGTTTCAAAGCAGCCGAGAAAAACTATCATAGCAATGAAAAAGAATTACTTGCTGTAAAAAGAGTTATTACAAAATTCTCTGTATATTTAACACCGGTAAAATTCCTGGTCCGTACAGATAATAAAAATTTTACTTATTTTCTCCGAACTAAGATTGCAGGAGACAACAAATTAGGCCGACTAATACGTTGGCAAGAATGGTTCTCTCGATATACTTTTACTGTAGAATATCTTGCAGGAGATAAAAATGTGCTGGCAGACTGTCTCACCCGTGACTTCAGGAATGTCTTACATCATCCATGATCTCACTTGCTCCTCTCGAGCCCTATAAAAGGATATGATCCCCACGACATATTCCTTACAAACTTCACTCACAAAAAAGAGAGGGGGAGGATAAAAGAGTTTAAAAAATTTACAAAATGGAAGACCTCAAATCCTTGAGGATGAAGAAACAAATGCTCCTCATAGAGCTATCAGCAATCGAACAAAAAATCAACTTGTATGAACAAGTAACAACGGTCACCGATGTACCGGAAAGCGAAAGCTTAGAAACAAAGGCTATTCCAGTGCAAACAGCACCTGGTAAAGAAACAACAAATCTGTTGAAAGCTGATGCTTTGCTTAAAAGCATAATAAAGGAGACAGATACTCCTCTTCCACATGGAAAAACTAGCTTGTTGGTTAATTCCAACCCTTGTACTGAAGGAATCAGTAAAATGACAATTTTGTCACCTACTAACAAATCTGTGCAAGAGCTTAACCCAGATTACAAAAAGGCTCTTAACAAAGAAGCTGAAAGATTCTATGTGATCTACAAAGGGCCACACGCCGGAATACATACAGACTGGGGAATTACAGAGACCTTCTTCAAGGTCGATAAAGTAACATGCAAGAAGTTCAGAAATGAAACAAGTGCACGACTTAGTTTTGCCACCTTCAATGACGAAGCCAATCAAACCAAAAAACCTCTTCTAAAGCCAAAAGTCCAGAAGATCAAAGAAGAACACAAAGACCATAGATTTGATATCCCAAATGACGTCGAATATGAAGTCAACAATCCTGCAATCTCCTTTGAAGATTTCAGAACAATCTGGAGTAAAGCTAGAGCGGCATGCCCAGCATATCTTATCCATGAAAGATTTTTCACAACAGATAAGAAAACCAAAAGTCTGTACAACTTCCTAGAAGGAGCAGATCCAAGATTAATCCAACAAGACTTTTCGGCAGGATTAATAGACAACATCTATCCAAGCTGCAATTTGCAAGAACTAAAGTTCGTCCCAACCAGCATGATAGAAACCATTAAGAATTTCCGAAGGAAAGTTCTCAAAGCAAAAGATGATCCAATTTACATCAGAGTCATCTCCTCTCTTGCAGAATGGATTCAAGAAGCAACACTCGCCCCTTATCACTATCTAGAAATTGGCTTAACAAAAGCTAAAAAAGACATCGAACAATCTCGACCCACGGAAGACAAAGATCTCCCGTTCGAAGAAATCCTTCATCAAAATCGTATCAACGGCCTTAGAAGAATTTCTGAAAAAATCATTGAGATAATCTCAGGATCAAAGAAAAAAGTTAATTATACAAATTCTCACTGTATAATCACCAGCTGGAGCTATGGCAACACTAGTAACGAAGACCTTGAACGAGCATCCAAATTCGGAGAACAGTTCATGAACAACAACTTTGATGCATCTACCACTACACGACAAATCTTCTGTAGGCATGCGGAGCAGTTGTTTGAAGACCTTCATTGCGACTACTGCAAAAGCAGTGATTCCACGACAAAGGAGGGTCCATCCTCTGAAGACGACAAATCTTCATCATCTTAAAGAAAGATGCTTCACGCGTCAAATGGCCCCCGCCACTCAAGAAAATAATGCCTCCTACATTATTAAAAAAGATGCTTCGACAAGGAGAAAATCTTCGATCTAAAAGCAGCTAGCTTTTCCAGCTGTCCACAATAATGAAATCGTGAGTGGATAGAAACATCATGCCTGGCGTAATAGGCAATTATCAGACCCTCTCAATGTGCCTATAAATTGAGAGTTATGTTTTCATTAGAGGGCATCACAACAACGAGTGCAAGAAAAACACTCTCTATCCTATAAATTCTCAATTTAATGACTTGTGAGTAAAATCTCCCTTAGAAGGGAGAAAATGTAAAATATTGTAAGAGTACTCCCGTTTTGGGAACTCTTTTATCAATAAATCCATGTTTTGTTATACTTGAGTGTTCATACAAAAATAGAATCAAGAAACCTGTAAGTGACAGAGTGTCAGGTCGACGATGGTCAACAGTACCGCATGCATGAGACCAACAGGGAAAGCAACCACACAGGCCAAAGGATGACACAGGTTGGCTTAAATAGTTTCTATCTATGTAAGTATAACACCCACTCCAAAACACTTATTGATTAATGAGTTTTCTCTTTACAAACTTTGCATCTATTCCCTTCTTTTTAAATAAAAAACTCTGCACACCCAAACTGGTATCAGAGCCTTTTAAAAAAATGGCATTACATTATAATAAAACACTTTACAGTGAAGTGTTTTATTATAGAGTAAATTATACGAATGGTCCCTATGGTTTGAGATAATTTGCACGTTTGGTCCCGAACTTATTTTTTTAACTCGTATAGTCCATACTATTTGTTTTTGTTGCGTGCTTGGTCCATACTGTTTGTTTTTGTTATGCGTTTGGTTCCTGTCTCACCTTAAAAAACTATTATTTACATAGAGAAAAATGGTGGGGCAGGTAAGGTAAAGTGAGAGAGATGAGGTTGATCGTGTGTTTATTTAAATAAATTAAAAAATCAAGGGCAAAATAGTATTTTTAGGTAAGATAGGGACCAAACACGTAACAAAAACAAATAGTAGGAACCTTCCGAGTTAAAAAAATAAATAGGGACCAAACGCGCAAATTACCTTAAACCATAGGGACCATTTGTGTAATTTACCATTTATTATAATGTGATGTCATTTTTTTAAAAGGCTCTGATACCAGTTTGGGTGTGCGGAGTTTTTTATTTAAAAAGAAGGGAATAGATGCAAAGTTTGTAAAGAGAAAACTCATTAATCAATAAGTGTTTTGGAGTGGGTGTTATACTTACATAGATAGAAACTATTTAAGCCAGCCTCTGTGTCATCCCTTGGCCTGTGTGGTTGCTTTCCCTGTTGGTCTCATGCCTGCGGTACTGTTGACCATCGTCGACCTGACACTCTGTCACTTACATGTTTCTTGATTCTATTTTTGTAAGAACACTCAAGTATAACAAAACATGGATTTATTGATAAAAGAGTTCCCAAAACGGGAGTATTCTTACAATATTTTAGATCTTCTCCCTTCTAAGGGAGATTTTACTCACAAGACATTAAATTGAGAATTTATAGGATAGAGAGTGTTTTTCTTGCACTCGTTGTTGTGATGCCCTCTAATGAAAACATAACTCTCAATTTATAGACACATTAAGAGGGTCTGATAATTGCCTATTACGTCAGGCGTGACGTTTCTATCCACTCACGATTTCATTATTGTGGACAGCTGGAAAAGCTAGCTGCTTTTAGTTCGAAGATTTTCTCCTTGTTGAAGCATCTTTTTTAATAATGTAGGAGGCATTATTTTCTTGAGTGGCGGGGGCCATTTGACGCGTGAAACATCTTTCTTTAATATGATGAAGATTTTTCGTCTTCAGAGGATGGACCCTCCTTTGTCGTGGAATCACTGCTTTTGCAGTAGTCGCAATGATGGTCTTCAAACAACTGCTCCGCATGCCTACAGAAGATTTGTCTTGTAGTGGTAGATGCATCAATGTTGTTCATGAACTGTTCTCCGAATTTGGATGCT